AGTTGAAGTTTTAATTTAAGCCCTTCATTCATGTGCGTCTAACGTAACAAATTAAAAACCTGTTTTTTTACTGAGTTTGTTTTCATACCGTAAATTGGAAAATTTTGGCGTCGGGATATTCTGGGGGTTTTCTTTCGAAAGGCATGTGTTTTATTTTGGTGTGTGTAATTTTGATGCTTCGTCCAATTAATATGTTTAACTTTTTAACAACAGTAGTGAGCAAGATCATTCATATTTGCCTTTTTTTACCCGTTTATTGACAAAATATTATTGAATTTCTCAAATGAGAAACACGACAAAGTTAACCTAATGACGGAATCGGATACGGATGCAATTGCAAATAATTCCGTATATCATGGTTCAAAGCTGCAACTAGTTATGAAATAAAATCTTTAACATTAAAATCACTTTTAAAACAGATTATTTATTTTTAAGACATATCTTATGAAATAAATTTCAACTCTCTCTATTTATTGCAGTACATGTAAATCTATTGACGATAAAGGATTTAAATTTTAATCCTTATGTCTCTGGCAGTACATATGTTAGTTATTTTAAGATAAAGGATTACAAGGAGTTTTGATATTCTAATTACCAATTAACGGTGTTTAATCAGCAGTAGCCTGGTATATTTATGACATGTGTGAATAAAAATTCATGATGTGTTTTCTTAACAATTTCAGATAATTGACTATAAAGTAAAAATTATGTAGTGTTGTAAAATTATACGAGGTATTTATTTGCAGATTTGGCTATGTAGAGAATTGTAGGAAATATACGGAAGATATAATAACATCAAATATTTTCCCCAACAATTAACATCACGATATTATTATACCGGTACGGGATTTTGGCGTTTCAATTTTAAGTTTTTGCTTTATTTTCGTGTGTGTTATTTTGGCACAATCATTGGAGGCACCAAATAAACCAAAATAAAACTACAACCAAAATAACCCAATTTACGGTATTAGGACATTCAGAATTCACCAAAATAAAAATAAAGAATAAAAGCGTAAACTGTTTAATGAACGAGTTATAAAAACAGATTCGTACACACACAATCAATTGAAATAAAGAAAAATCATATCCTTGTACGAATGTTTGCAGTTGTTAAAATATCGTTTAAGGTTACCAAGTTTACGAGTTTTAAAATTAGTTGTTTATCTGCCAAGATGAGATCGTCCTGTTGTACATGTTAACATTATTTAAAGTACTGCAACAATCTGATGTTTCACATCCACGAATGTTACTCAAACTTAATGTATTCGCCAAGAACTTCAATGCATAAAAACAATCGGAGCATTTATGTGTTGCTGTAGATTATAAATAAGGGAACGCTGTTGATAAAAAAAATACAACAAAACGTTGGACAACATAGTAGAAGTTTAATATCATCAATAAGTAAATTAAGCTATAAAAAAGTTAAACACAGAAAATAACAATTACAGAATTTATGAAATGGTATAACATCAAACTGTTATCAGTACTATACATAAAATGCCATAATAACCCAACGACTTAGTTGGCGACATCACATCTGTACGACAACACGGAGATTCACCCAGGTTTTTGGTGGGGTTCGTATTACTCGGTCTTTAATTTTTATGTTGTGTTTCGTATAGTAGTACTGTTGTTTTTAAGCTGTTTCCACGCTTCAGGATGTAATCAACTTTGACAACAAAAATATCTTCAGGTGAAACATGCGAGTGTCTTGTATGTTTAGTTTACATAAATCACAAATTGCTGAGGAAAGACGTCATCATTGACCTAAATAATACTCATTAGAAATACCGAAATATCGCAACACAGCGAAAGGTATGCCTATCAAATGCATGCATAATTGCTTATTAACATCAAAACTCCGCTCAGAGAATGACGAGATATACGACTGCATGAGGAAAATGAATAACATGCCACAACTATATTAGAATATCTTTTACTAAAGTTATGATCTAAAGTTCATGTGTTGGATAAGATATTTTGGAGTTAAAAAAAAAACAAATACATTTTGTACAAATACAGTTTCTGTTTATACCCTTGGTTATTCAAATAAAAAGAATCAACAGTTCTAAACATGCCGTGCTGTTCGATAAAATGTTCCTTTTGTTTTGAAAATTCACATGATTTATGATGCGTAGAATGAAAACGTAATAGTTCTGTCTTCGGCAGTGACATACATGCTAACGACAGAAGAAACATCCAACACATGCCTTTTTTCCAGCGTAACTTTCAGTGTAGTATTTCCATCCGGCTTCAGTAGGTTTGGAATCATCTATTAAAAGGTACGTCCCAAAGGACAACAGCTCACATCTGTCAATATAGCAAACAGAAAGTAGAATATATTTAACAATTTCAAAATTGTACTTGTATTATTGTTTAAGAAATCATTCATGACAACCGTAGATTTTTTTTCATTTTACCATGTGTAGGACGTTTATGTTCGTTTTTATTTTATCCCGAACGATAATGAATTCGAATACAGATGCCGAGCCGAAGGTTGAATTCTTTAATTTGGCAACCGTGAAAGCCTTATAAAAACGAAAGTGTTTTTGCTGTTCCGTTGTACCCCCCTGTATGATAATATTACATTATAAAAAAGAACAAAAAACAAAAAGGCAAACTCATTTGAAATATTCTTTTGTCTATCTTTATGACATTATGAGGCGTTCAAGAAGCATTAGCACGTCCGATTTGAATATTTGACGCCAAAATCAAACATATGAAGTCACCTTATTTATTTGTCAAATGCGATATTATCATTTCAGGGAATTTTTGTTTCATGAAACATTACATCAAATTAATATCTGAAATGGACTAATTTTTTTTTCATTTTGCATTATAATAAGAATGACCTTATTGCAGATACAGTTTTAACAATTAAAAGGCTTTTGCAGAGATTAAACCAACTACATCAACTGAATATGACCCTGTTAGTATGAAATAACGAGCATCATTGCTGCTGGTATCTCGGGTTTTCAGAAAATATTTACCTAGACACAGTGAGAAATAGTTTTCGCCAACAAGGAAGACTTTTTATTGGATATATTGAGACACAGTACACACACGTCATGCATTGCGTATTTTGACTTTGATGAACTTGTGTCCAATTTTTGTTCAGCTATGAGTGTTTCGATCTACCTGTGAGACGAATATTGACAATTTTTGCTGGGGAAACGTCATTATATGGACATTGATATAATAAAAAAATGTGTGTCCAAGGTAATTGAACGATTCAGTGTTATAAATACGATTTTTGTAGCAGCATGTAAAAGATGTTACCGGCAAAATCGATATGTTTTAGCATGATGCTGCACGATCCCATAGAGCAAGGCGTATTTACCTGGATCTAAAAATCGCCGGATTTTAACTTTATAAAATATCTTTCGGACGGTAGTTAATCATTGCAACATAAATGGCAAAGTATACCACAAATTTAATACAAAATGTAGCTCAGTCCATGCTTATGAAAGCAGACAAGTTTAAGCTGCACATGGTGGTCACAATTTATACCAACTTTAACGTCATCAGATATTATTTCAAATCGTTGTTCGGTTCCCTTTGTACATTGTTATTTTTTTATTTTTTTTTTAATGTAACAAAACATGGTTGTTATAAACAGATTTGAAATGCATTTTAAAACATGGATCATATGCTTCGATTTTGCACACTAAATGATTACGTAAATGTAAATATGAAAATGTCATAGAATGTCCGTTTTTTTTGTATTTATATCGATATCCTTTTGACGTTAGGTCATTAGGACGATAGCATTCGTAAACAAATTATCTTTAAACGTGTAAATGATGAGCAAATAAAATACCTTTTATCCTGGCTGTGGTATTTAAAACCTGCACATGCGTTAAGGTTGAGAACACATCGCAGCACAAAGTACCTCCGTTGAGAAGAAATTTCCCAGACTTAAAAGTACAACTCTTTTATCCGGATCATGACAACTGTTAAAATACCCGATGGAGTTTTTAATGAGCTTTTATTCAAGAAAGTATGAAAAAATTCGAATTCCTGATAACTCTAAATTTTACAGTTCAACTGTATCAATATACAATTTGGAAGTTAAGAAGTTAAAAAGCAGATTAAGTTCGTGCTATAATGTTGTCTCAGTTTTTAAATTCAGTAAACATGTATTTTCCAGAACTTGTTTACTGTATGTGTTCACTTCTGATTGTGAAATTTTAATTGAGTGTGTATTCACGTAGCGATAAAGGCATGCAAAGCAGGGGGTAATTACACTTTCGACGCACCTGGTCTTGTTTATATTTGAGTGCATACGATTCCCAAAGTGTTAGATTATTTACCATTTTTACACTGTAAAAACAAGTGTTTCAAAATAAAACACTTTTAAAACACATATCAGACACAGTTTTAAAACACTTTTAAGTCTTTAGTTCTAAGCACTTGTGTTTTATATAAAACGTTTAAAATGTTTTAAACATTAATCACTAATGTTTTCCTTCAAAACACACATGTTTTGTCAATAACACTATGATATTTTACCTAAAACACTTCAGCGTTTAATATAAAACACTTTTAAGTGTTTATGAAGGAGACACACTTTTAAAACACTTTTAAGTGTTTATAAATGAGATATGTTTTTGTTTAAACACATGTGGGATTTTTTGTGTACACCGCAAGTGTTTTTGCATTGTATGTTTTGAAATGTGTGTTTTTAAAATGTGTTTTAGCTAAGCATTAGTATTGTTCCTTTTGCTCTTCAAATGACAAGATCTGTATTATTGGCTTGTATAGAAAATCTTTCCACTAAAATTTGTCCTTTGCAGTTTCCTATACCCCAAATATTTTAAACTTGTCAGGTTTCATGACTGGAGTATTTTGTCATTATTTACTCATTAATGTTCGAACTAAAAATTACCCTGCATAGTGCAACCAGTTGTTTGTTTCCAAAACAAGGTACATGTTATACCAAGAGTAATCTCCTACACTAATATAAAATTTTGTATAGGCATCATAAATACTGAGAAATAAAAAAAAAATGTATGAAATTTTATTCATTGCAATTATTCTTTATAAAATCACAAATATTTTCCAAGATTGATACAGTATAATAGATGTAACATGTAAAATAATATAAAGTTCCAGTCGCTATATCTGACATTTCTAATTGTTCTTGTCCCTTTCAAATATAAATCTGATCTGAGTCCCTCCTCATGGTGGCTTTTTGTGTACTTATCCACTTCGTTTTCAACAACATTTTCATGTATGGATATGAAAGTAGTCGACTTCTTCCCTTTGCCTTTGAGTATCCAGTTTCAGGAAGAAATTTGTACTCTGTCTCCTGAAATATTGTTCAATTCATTTATGTATGGCCTTTGAAGGTAATAAAGTATAAATTATAACTTAAAAGTGAATTTTTACTACCTAATATACTTGAATCTAGATGCCCCTTTTCTTGAAAATAGTTGTGAGTTGATATATTGTCATTTTAAATAAAATCTATTTATACATTGCACAGTTAATTACAAAACATATGCAGATATATGTGTAAAGTTCATTAAAAATCAACAGATACCAAATTTATTGTGTTCAAAGTGATTTTCTGGAGAGAAAAAAAAAACCTTAACCTTGAAAACTAATGGACAAATGTTAAGACTGAGTGCGCAAAAAAAGAAAGTAAACAAATGTGAGAATTGCTGCACTGTTCCCTGATAATAATGGTTAACAGATTAGTGGTAAACCTCACTTTTCCATTATAAAAGGGTTAACTGATAAGCAATTATTCAGCTGTACTTTCATATGGGGTTAACATTATACATCTTTTTAGTTACACCATTCTATTAATAAGCAACCAATCATATTACTCTTATAAATAAAGTCCACAGTAGATACATTTCGGGGTCTAAGACCGGCTTTTATAGCTGACTATGCGTTATGGGCTTTGCTCATTGTTGAAGGCCGTACGATGACCTATAGTTGTTAATTTCTGTGTCATTTGGTCTATTGTGGAGAGTTGTCTCATTGGCAATCATACCACATCTTCTTTTTATACATATATGTTGATGTACAGATATTATGTCATATTGAATTTGTAATGGTAATATATATGACACCAGTTTATTTTCATTATAATACTCAAAATATTGATAATATCTGTCATAAAAAATGAATTATCATATCTTGTTAATATCTTAAACGAATAAAAATGATTTTATAAATAGGAGTTGCTTGAAAAATACATGTTACTATGTAAATCTAGTCATACCTTCAATTCTTTTTTTGTTTATCTTTGGTAAGACACCTCAGAACTTTTTCAGGTTTACTTCCTATAACCTTCATATTCATTTATACTTCAGCATCTTGATAAATTAAAATTCATCCAATATCTGGAACAGAAATATTTGTTTTTATGAAATTTAGTCTACAATCGTATAATTTATATGTACAATGTACGAAAATGTACATTGTTTGAATTGATAGCTTGCATTTGCACTTTTGGTTATTGGTTTTGCTCATTGTTGAAGGCCATACAATACCCTATAGTTGCTTACTTCTACATCATTTGGTCTCTGATGGAGAGTTATCTAATTGGCAATCATACTACATTTTATTCTTATATGTACCTACATCCCATTTTTGTAATCAATACCGACAAAATGACTGAAACCTGAAACACATATTATTTTGTATGGCATGACTCTACCAATAAATCTAAGTTTGTATTTTCAATGTTTTTTTCTGTTTTCTTCTCAATGAAATCATGGTCATATGAGGACCCTTAAGCTTACATGTAATGCTCTGGTTAAAATGTTGACTTTAAATTAAAAGGTAGACCCTGATAATATGTACTGCAACACACAAATACAAATATCTCAAAACTATTGTTTTTCTTATGCATGTATATTAACATGACTCAGTATATGTACATTTATGTTTCATTATTCAAAACAAAATCAAGACAACTGTTTTGTTTGGAAATATTGAAGTCACAGAAGGATAGACAAATGTAGCACTATACGTATGCCCCTGCCACTTATGGCCGGGGCATAAAAATAATATACCATGATTTCAGGTGTTCTTCTTTTTCTTTTTTTTCTTTTGCCCGTTTCTGTGTTCTTCATTTTTTTTCTTTTGAATGCTGTCCAATGTACTCACTGCTGAAAAACAGTAAAATAATGGACAAGTGAGGTAGTTAAATTGGATAGGCAACACAATTATGATTGCAGGCCATAAACCTAATTTGTCTTACAATCTTTAACTTTAGCCTGATATTCTACCTCCTTGTAAAGTCTTACATTTGTACAACAACTTATACTAAATAAAATGGAATTCTGAAGACAGAAGTACATTTTATCCTGAAAATTTTATATTTGTTCAGTTAACAGGTTAATTGTTGCAACATAATCATGATTTTTTTCAATATAAATATTTAAATCACTAGCATGACCTAGTCCTTGCTACAGAATGTACATATGAACTGAGACTATATAAATCTATAACAGTACATGTATAGTCTCAGGTGTAAAAAACAGAGGCGGATTTAGGGGGGGGAGGGGGGGGGTGGGTAGGGGGCCCCCATTTGATGGTTGATTATCTAAGGAGTCACTGAAGCATGACTGGAGCGGGCCCCCTCTAGGCAGTCAGTTCCCCACCCTTATGAAAATTTCTGGATCCGCCACTGAAATTTTCTATATCTGCTACTGTACTGTCAGTAGATATCTCGATTTTCATTTGTTTTCTTTCAATTTTATTAACAGTTTACATGCAAAAGACACATACACATACATACCCACAAATCAACAAACTACATTATTAGCATGATTAGTATTACACCAGGGACTTTCTATACTAAGTACTTACTATAGAAAGTCCCTGATTACACACACATCGACACAGGAACAATAACAGTGAAACACCTTAAGTTAACCCGACATGATGTCATGTATTTTTTCTATTGATTATGAGATAACAATTAAGAAGCATAATTTACATTTTGTAATCTTATTGTTAATATTATAGTCTTACAAAAATTAACTAACATCTTTGTTGTGACTTGTGCGTCTGTTGAAAAACTACGGGAAAATAATACAGAAGATTGCTTTCAAGGGAGAAAACTTATCTTGCTAAATATATTGGGGTCCTAAATGGGGTGATTTTCAGATGAACAAAAATACAATTTGTCGAGTATTGTCGTTCGTAAATCAGTCGTTTCTTAGATTTTCTTTTGTGAATACACATACGAAAACTAGTCAGGCTTATCACTATATCACATGGGAAGATATACTGTTTATCCTTGCTAAACGAAGAATTTACTACTATGAAAATCCTTGCTGTACCTCAGTAGTTAAACCTAACTTAAAACAATTTTATTTAAATGATCACAAAAGAAAGAGTTATATGCAATATTAGGATTAAATATTATAACGCTTATGTCAGTCGTGTAAAGGCATTTGTAAATAAATTGCCGCCAAATTAATCTCGGATGCGGCTTTCGACCAAAACATTCCACATCGGTTAAAATATTGATACTAATTTGCTTGTCCGAGGATAATTCCACAATGAAATTAAACAAGAAAAGTAAAACACGAATTAGAAGACAATAATTTTTATAACAATTAAACGTACCTTTTAATCCAGATTGTAATCATGATTCTTCTAGCCCTGTGTACATTTCCCTCTCAGCTGCAGCTAGGACACTGGATACCTTTGGCGGTATTAAAGGCTGGTCACGTGTGTATCATATTACGAAAACGCGAGTGTTTTTCTGTGTGTTTAGTTTTCATATGTCAAAAACGCTTATCCGTTTTGACAATATCTGAGCGATGACCCTCTGTCAATATTTATTGCTGCACCCCCGGATGAGCATGTCTAGTATTTGTTTAATTTTACCCTTTTTTCAGTACTTATAGTTTTTTTCAACCAAATTTCAATTATAATCCATAGGAAATCATATACAAAAAAGACCAGGAATTACTTTTCTTTGTCTGAATTGCATGGTTTAAAGCTATAGTTACATGACGTTTTCTACTATTTAAAGTGTCCGGCTTTGCTATTGAAGCTGATCACTCGACTTTATGTTGATAAATCGCTAAACAATAAATTGGGGCTATTTCTTTACCGTCATTATAAACTGTTTAAAATAAAACACGAGTGTTTAACGATAAATAGAAAAAAATTTGTCAAAAGCACACATGTTTATTCACTTATTCATTTATTCACACTTGCGTCTAAAATAAAACATTTGCGATTTTCTAACAAGTGTTTGAAATGTTTTTAAAATTACACTTGTTTTACAGTGTACCTACTTTTCTTTTTACTCGATTAATGAGATATGAACATTGGTTAAATACTGTTGCCTTAATTCATTTTCTTTTAACTCAAAAGTTCAACTCAAATCATTTGGCCTACACCAAAAATATTTTTAATGTAAAATTGAGAATGGAAATGGGGAATGTGTCAAAGAGACAACAACCCGACCATAGAACAGACAACAGCAGAAGGTCACCAACAGGTCTTCAATGCAGCGAGAAATTCCCGCACCCGGAGGCGTCCTTCAGCTGGCCCCTAAACAAATATATATACTAGTTCAGTGATAATGAACGCCATACTAAACTCCAAATTGTACACAAGAAACTAAAATTAAAAATAATACAAGACTAACAAAGGCTAGAGGCTCCTGACTTGGGACAGGCGCAAAAATGCGGCGGGGTTAAACATGTTTATGAGATCTTAACCCTCCCCCTATACCTCTAGCCAATGTAGAAAAGTAAACGCATAACAATACGCACATTAAAATTCAGTTCAAGAGAAGTCCGAGTCTGATGTCAGAAGATGTAACCAAAGAAAAAAAAACAAAATGACAATAATACATAAATAACAACAGACTACTAGCAGTTAACTGACATGCCAGCTCCAGACTTCAATTAAACTGATTGAAAGATTATGTCTTCATCATATGAATATCAGGCACAATCCTTCCTGTTAGGGGTTTAGTATCATACCATCATAACATATATGAGAAGAACATAACCCGTGTCATGCCAACAACTGGTTTTTAAATAAATGTGTTTAGTGCCGATGCAAAGACCCTATAAGTGAATCAATATTAACGCCATAATATGCAATCTGTAATGACCATACAACAGTATCGTAACTAAATCCCTTCTTATTAAGTCTATTTAAAGGTTTTGTTAGCTTCAGAGGTGAGTACTGACATTTTTGTGCTTTATAAAGAATATTTCCATAAAAAATTGGATGTGAAATACCTGAACGTATAAGAAGTCTGCATGTTGTGCTATATTTACGAATGATGTCCTTATACCGATGATAAAATTTAGTAAATGTTTTGACTAGTTTGTGATATCGAAAACCCTGGTGTAATAATTTTTAAGTAATACATAAATTTCTCTCGTTAAAATCTAAAACATTGTTACATACACGAGCGAATCGTACAAGTTGAGATATATAAACACCGTAAGATGGTGACAAAGGAACGTCACCATCTAAAAATGGATAATTAACGATAGGAAATGAAAAATCATCTCTTTTATCATATATTTTAGTATTAAACTTTCCATTAATGGTATAGATATCAAGATCGAGGAAAGAGCAGTGGTCATTGTTAGTATTAGCTTTATTTAAAGTAAGTTCAACGGGATAAATTTCTTTAGTATACATACTGAAGTCGTCATTATTGAGAGCCAAAATATCATCCAAATATCTAAAAGTATTATTAAATTTGTGTATCAGATGTTGTTTCGATGGGTCTTTGCTGATTTTTGTCAAAAATTGTAACTCATAGCAATACAAAAAAAGGTCCGCAATAAGTGGTGCACAGTTAGTCCCCATTGGAATTTCGATAACCTGACGATATACAGAATCTCCAAAGCGAACAAAAATATTATCTAGTAAAAATTCAAGGGCATATATAGTATCAAAGCATGTCCAATTGACATAGTTTTTTTGTTTATTGCTACTAAAAAATGACCTAAAAGAGTTTGAACATATATATTCACATTCTGACTTTTTAAATGTCCATTTAATTAGGTGTGTGAATTTTTTCTTAATGAGAATGTGAGGCAATGTGGTATATAGGGTAGAAAAATCAAAACTTTGAACAGATTCAAAATCACCAATATATGCATGTAATTTATCAAGTACTTCCAACTAGTTCTTGACACTCCAAAAGTAATTAATTCCATTATTTTCGAAGGCCTTATTTGAACAATTTATTATCAGGTTTTTGATTGTACCAAGTGTACTGGTAAGAAGAATAGACAATTTAGTAGTGGAACAATGGCTTGAAGACGAAATAAATCTATATTTGTAAGGTGTTTTGTGTAGCTTCGGAAGCCAGTACATAGTTGGGACTCTCATTGTATTTGGTTCTGCTTGTAAAGCGGTAGCTAAAAGTATATGTTTGTTACAGATGTCGTTTTTCTGAAAATGGAGTCAGTTGGAATGTTGGTGAATTGGTGATTTCTTTTTTCAGAACCTCAATGTAAAATTTACGTCAAACAATAAAAATATTATTAGCAGCTTTATCGGCCGGGACAAAAACAAATTCCTTGGCTAGTTCTTTTAGTTTATGTTTGTTTACATATGTTTACATTTCGGGCACACTAGGATACCATTGATTTCGTACTCAATAAACTAATGGAAAATTGAACATATAAAATACTGGATTTCAATATTTTGCTTTGAACGTTGCTGATGAATATATATATATATAAAAGGCCTCGAACACATGCAATTATTTAGCGTTATTTTCATTTTTATTGTTGTTTATATCATATATATTTAACGACAGTTCCTTTGTGTAAATGTCCTCATAATACATAGATGAAATGTTTTTAGTTCATTTTTTTGTACATAAGTTAGGCCGTTAGTTTTCTCGTTTGAATTGTTTTACATTGTCATTTTGGGGCCTTTTATAGCTGACTATGCTGTATGGGCTTTCCTTATTGTTGAAGGCCGTAAGGTGACCTATAGTTGTTAATTTCAGTGTCATTTTGGTCTCTTGTGGAGAGTTGTCTCATTGGCAATCATACTACATCTTCTTTTTTTCTTTTTTGTTA